ATATATATATATATATATACACATTTAAATTGTAACTGTGTTTATTCCAATCTAAATAAATAAATAAATACATAAATAAATTATCTCTAAAAGAAACATATATGAGCAAAATCACATGAGTAGCAGTGAGACATGGCTGTATATTGGCACTGGTGGGAGGCGTGCTTGGCTATAGGCCGCAGGACGAGTGCCTTAGTATCTCATCAGTTAAATTATACAACCATTTTGCACTGCTACAGGACGTGATATTGCATTTATAAAACATTTCTATGGCATAATCATGTGTATAAAAAGAAAATCAAACACAGAGAATCTCAAAAATCCTTTTGAACAAGGAAATATATCTTCCTCTATTCATTCACATCTGCAGCTGACCCCAGAACAGCAGAAACTATTGCTTAAAAACACCTCAACACTTTAGAGCTAGTAATGGAATGATTATCTAGCATAATGTCTAACTTAAAGTATTGACAAAACAGGTGATTTTGCTGACATTTAAAGATTATAAAGCTGAACGGCATGAAATGCCATCAGTCTACTTAGATGTACCAGTATTTCTCTGTTGCGTTCAGGATATTAACCCTGAAAAAAACCAAAGAGCAAACAGAACCAGATTACTATGGTATAAATACAGCACTACAACATGGAGATCGACTTAGAGTGTCATTTACCTGTTTTCTAACAATTTAATTAGCTGTATTTTGAAATATGAAAAGAAAACGTTGAGTTTTATCCCCTAAGGACTTTTTATGCACTCTCTGTCACCATCTTATGGCTTTCAACCATCAATTTCTTTGCTTTGCATGGCATGAATCTCCAAAATAATAAATATTTAAAATAAATCCTTAAATAAAAAACATCATAGTTGCAATCTAAACAATTACATTCTCGCCCAAAACAACTCAAAAGTATTTTTTTTGTTTTGTTGTATTTTCTTATGTCACTCTATGTGGGCGGAGTAAAACACAAGGTTAAGAGTCTGTACGAGTGCTGTTATTGCAGAATATCGCACGACTATCAGCCAATCAGATTCGAGAACCAGACTAACTGTTGTGTGTTTATGTATATACATATATACAGTTGAAGTCAGAATTATTAGCCCCCCTGAATTATTAGACCGGTTGTTTATTTTTTCCCCAATTTCTGTATAACGGAGGGAAGATTTATTTAACACATTTCTAAATGTAATAGTTTTTGTAACTCATTTCTAATAACTGATTTATTTTATCTATGCATTGATGACAGTAAATATTATTTTTCTAGACATTTTTCAAGACACCTTTATACAGTTTAAAGTGACATTTAAAGGATTAACTAGTTTAATTTGGTTAACTAGGCAGGTTAGGGTAATTAGACAAGTTATTGTATAACGATGGTTTGTTCTGTATATTATTGAGGAAAAATTTAGCTAAAAGGGGCTAATAATTTTGACCCTAAAATGGTGTTTAAAAAATTAAAAACTCATTTTATTCTAGCTGAAATAAAACAAATAAGACTTTCTTAGAAAAAAAAATATTATCAGACATACAGTGAAAATTTCCTTACTCTGTTAAACATAATTTGGGAAAAAGAAGAAAAAAA